CAACAGGCAATTTTATTTGCTACAAAACTGCAGTGGTTAAAAAATATATAATTAACTTTGCTGTTCCAAGACTTCATTATAAGTTTGATATAAATGATTAATATATTTATCATTGTATTCAAACTAATTTTAGTCTACGTAAAAGGTGTTTATATTTATCTATACATATATACATATAATAAAATTGTAGAAAAGTGATGTCTGTACATTGAAAATAAAAATAAAAAAAATAGCAGGAGTTATTGTTATGTCGATGTTGAACCCAAAAATGTAATTAACTTTTTTTTTGTCTGTTTGTCTGTTCACGCTAATCTCAGAAACGGCTGATCCGAGTTGGATGCAGTTTTCACGAATATATTGTGGTATTCTTCAGTTATGTTTTAGAGTTTGTTTCATGTCAATCGGTTTCCTAAATAAAAAAGTTATGTCAAATTAAAGAATCACGTCGAACACTATTCTATGCTTATACATACATAGGCACCATTAATCTTATATAGAGAAGCATTACAGTAAAGTAGGTTTTTAGCTACCCAAAATGACTGTGATTATGATCCAAAATAAAAATAAGTATATATTTTAAAAAAACGCTGCTCATAGTAACTATTCCACGCGAACGAAGTCGCGGGCACAGCTAGTGAAAAATATGTTGTGCATATTATGCTTTATCTACCAAACATGTTTGTGACAGTTCATTGCTAAGCTTAATGGCAGAAATACTGAGTGCAAAGTAAAAAAGCGTGATACATGAACTTAATGGATCCTCCAGCGAAATAAGTCTCAATTTTAACCATTTCGCTTCTGAATTTGTTCATACACACGGAAGAAATATGAACACTGTTTTCATAAAATCATTCGTTCGTGAAATACAGTAAATTATTAATTGGACATATTTCTGAGTAGTATGTATATGGTAGGTATTAAACTAGTGTTGATAGTCGTATACTGTATCTACATACATGTTATTATTTACTGTAATGCTTGGAATGGCAAATGTTACTGCTACTGTATGGCCTAAACGACTGAAATGTGTATGACATTAAAATACTATACCCTTTAAAAAAAAGAATATTTTATTCATATTTTTGTATTTACAGTCTTCTGTATCCATAGTAGTTTTCATACTTTTCATTCTTTCCATAACCGATATAAAACAAAGTAAATAACAAGATGAGGAAATATATGAAACTGAACTAATAAAACCTTACGAAGAAATTCTATTGATAAATTTATATTATATTTCTATTGCAATTAAGTAATTTATAATAACAGTTGATAAATGACACTTTTTTACTACGTTTACTTGTTTTAAATTCAGTTTTTATGACACTATCATTTTATTATATATTAAACCAAAATTAAAGTAAGGAATGCTTACAAAAATTTTTGCAATTATTTTTGTAGTTAGAAATGAAAGAACGTAAGATCTTGCAAAATATGGCAACGAAGACGTGTTTACAGGTGCGTTGTGGTGAATGATGTAGAGTACTAAAAGCACCTTCCCTTTTCTCCAACTCAATTGCTTTGTTTCTTTACTTTTGTTCATATTCCCTAGCCCCCATAACTGTTACGCAAATTGGGCAACACAGGTGTCGACGATACCCATTCGTCATTATTTCGATCGTATTACTTGTTTGATATTTTTCGGCACTTTTTATATTGGTATATGAATATTTAACTGTGATCCGAAACCATTTTATTCTGTTTTTCCATTTACACCGAGCTAAAAATAACTTGAGTTTTACCCAGATATTGGGTAAGTAGATTTATTTTGCTATAATTTATGTATTTTTTTCAAGTCAATAAACTTTACCTATATCTATACTATTTGTTTTATAAATGAGAGATCAACTTCAGATTGCAAAATACAGAGATGTGTGTTGTTTGAGAAAAAAAATACTGATTAACGTTATACATATGCATTTAATATAATTATTTAAAAGAAATGTAAAATATTCTTTGAACATGCAAACATTTGGTTAATGTTTGTGACACTTAAGTTGAATCTCCTTGCCTCATAGAGCACGAGGCTCACTTAATCATTAGAATAATGTTTAGCAATATACCGTTCATGAGACGCACTCTGGATTTGTTTTATATAAAATATCATGACCTAGACACTCTCTTGAGGGATTGATTATATAATATTTAGCCGTCGCAAATGGTTCTATCAGAAATATAGAAGAATTAATACAAAAAATGCATACTTATTTTGTACCATACCATCTCGTTATACGTGAACTACCTATGTTTTATTTTGTAATAATTTAAATTACAAAGATAAATGTATTGATTAAGCTAAAGCTGTTTGTATTTTATTCAATATGTGTCACAACTAACAATTACAATATGAATTTAATCTCAATAGTTTAGGCGGTACAAAGCTGTTAAAAACCAAATTTTGGATAAAATTTACCTACTTCAAAAAAATTTACGAACTTGGTCTCTTGTGAATTATTATTTGTAAGTATTTTATTATAAATAATAATATAATTAAAGCATTTCCTTTTGTCTTTAATACACACATATTAAATATATCACAAATTTATAAAAAACTAGTTTTTGCCCGCGACTTCGTCCGCGTTAGTTTGGTCAAGAGTAATATATGTAGGTATAGCTGACCAGGCGAACTCTATTCCGTCTTAGAGGCCATAAATAATCAGGTTTTTCCTGTTTCAATCGAACAGAATGATTGACATATTAGTTAGTTGTCAAATCTAATGTCACGAAAACGTTTGTATGGGAAGTAGAAAAGGGCTGTTTTTAGGGTTTTTCCGGCAATTATTCCAATTTTTCTTACCTTTTAAAACTTCCCTGGACTTTCATGAGTATTTCAAGACTAAAATTAGCCAAATCGGTTCAGCCGTTCTCGAGTTTTAGCGAGACTAAGGAACAGCAATCCATTTTTATATATATAGAAGATTGCCATACAAATACTTTAATTGTAACTAAACTATTAGCTTAATTTGATATCTTTAATCTTTTATAAAATCGTCATTTGATACATACTATTTTTGTATTGGTAGTGAGCTTACAAATAATAAAAACCTACTAATTTTAAGGGTCACTTAAGAACATATATGAGTTTTTGATAACTATTTGAAATTATTCTAATAACCCAAGTGTTTCCTTATATTGATCTTTGAAATCTATAATGTATGGAATTATGTGAAATATGGAATAAAACCTTGTGAAATTATAGATATGTCGTGGATGCAATACCACTTCATCCAAAGTCTCAAAATTCGATGAATTTTATAGTAAATTAAACTTATTTCATGAAATAATATTTCTATTCAAAAAGTTAATTTTAACCTTAATAGAAAAAAATGAGTTGGTGGTAGTATAGATTATACCTTATTAATATTTCCCAACTTAAATTTACTTACTTTAAGTTTATCTTGGAACACCATTTAGTACTTGAAGCTTTTATTTTAAGTGTCTTTCTTATTATTAAGAACGTTTATTTTCATTAAACAATTTTTAATCAAGAGAGTAACGCTGCCCTGTCAAAATCAGTGGCGGCTGTACCTTAAGTGCGCCCGTGCGCTGAACCACCAATTCAAAATATTTAAAAATTACAAAATATTATGTCATCTTAATTTTTAAATTACCATTTTAATATTTATTTTTTAAACATACAAAAAGGTATAAAAAATTTAATTTCCAATTATGGTCAAAAAGTTTGAGCGCTTTACTAAACTCATATCGTGCGCTCCGGCGAGTGCACGAGGACTGCTAATACATCTTGTATGAGACACGCATTAATACGCCTGACGCGTGAGACAAAAGATAGTTCATAGAAATGTACCGAGTAATGAGTCGGTTCTCGCGCGCCGCACGAAGCGGCCGAAGGTTACCAAGAGCACCCGATGTATGACGTATTGAGCCGGCCGGCAAGGGGCCGGCCGAAAGGATGGGTGCTATGATTGACATTTCGTTAATCGTTATTGGTATTGTTTCAACTTTCACTGTATGCGTGACGCGTTAATTCGTTATTGTTTATAATTATTTCCGTAATTCGTTTTAGTTTTTATTTCGTTTCTATAATAGAACTTTTATTCTGTACTGTGTTTTTTATTAGTTGAAAATGAGTATAAATATTGATTATATTAAAGAAAATAACAAAATTTTTCAAAGTAAAGTGAACATAAAATTGGCCGGGCCGCCACGGCCCTTTTTAAATTTAAAACAAGAGTGTAAATCGAAAAATAAAGCATTTATACGAAGTTTAGAAGTGAAATGTATAATAGAAAGAAATGGTTGTGTGGATGTGAGCGTCTTAATACATTCTTTTGTTGCTTGCATTATTTTTGGCGGAGAATCGATTTGGACAGAAACTGGAATCAGATTTTAATAAAAAGGTGATAGAACATTTCGCTACAGAAAAATGTCGTCGCATTGATTTAATGTACAAAAAATAAACATATTTTATGTCAATTGTTGTTTTTGTCAATATTTTAGTAAAGTGAACCACCAGTTTGATAACCCACCAGCCGCCACTGGTCAAAATAGAATGTAATTGGCTCTTAACAATATTTATTTAAGACTAACTTTCACCTCTTCATCGCAATAATTAACATTATACATTTAAGTCATATTGTTGATATTTGTTTAATTTCTTATAAAAGTAAATATGAAAACACTAAATAATATGTATACATAGTGACTAGTACTAGCAATCCACATTTGAACCGAACTAAAATATAAAAAAATAAAATAGAAATAAACCTAGGTCGGTAACCCATCTTCAACATTACTATGTTACAGATGTGTGTCCATGGACGACGGTGACTACCTACCATCAGATAAGCCCTCTGCTCGTTGATCTATAATTTTGAAAGAGGGATTTCATTTAAATCTTAAAGGTCTAGCTATTCTGTAAGTTCCATAAGAGAGCTGTATCAAATAACACTTTAATGCTAATGTTTAAATTATAGGACAAAGAAATTAATTTCAAAAATTACAAAACAATATCATATCAAAATTTTATCATCCAACAGTCATAGCAATTTAACTGAATGAATAATTAACAGTACGTATGGTTTCCTGCTGACAATGTACTCCTTGACTCCGTGTAAGTTCCTGATCTTGTCTACCAGAGCTGCGACATGAGGATATTTCCTCTCGATCTGCTCACCCAGGCGCAAGTTAATCGCTTCGACGATGCCAACGAAAACGAAGTCAGCCCAGGTTAGCTATATAAAGAAATTGTTATTATTCATATTAGTTGAAAGTAGCTGCATTTGATATACAGATGTGAAATGATCACGTTATGTGCTAAATCGATTATTTACATTGAAACGTGTATCTTAATCACATTATGTTGTTGATTTTAGTCTCATCCAAAATAAATATAATAATAATTGAATCTGACTAAAAATACAGAACAATTTATTTAATTACGGTCTTCCAATTATAAACATTTTAAAACATAAAAGTAACAAAAAATTCTTAAATCACCTAACTTTTTTTTCATATCACCTTAGACCAAATAAATTATCACACATTATTACTATCACCGTAGTTAAAACATTATATACAATTTCCATAAAATGAATAAAATTGGAGTTTCTGTATTATAATTTTTTAATGCAAATGGATTTGCAAAATTGTGTTTGAATTTTTTTCGACCAAAGTTTATTGACAAAAATTGTGAATATAAATGTAACTTTTCTTTAGAATTTTTGTCCGTCTATCTGTGACTTTGTGCCGTCTAATCTATGAAAGGCCTGGAAAGCAGTTGGCGGGATTTCAGAGACGTTAGAGATGTCCAATGAACAAAAATCTCTTAACCTTATGTATTCTTTGCTTCAAAATTGCAAAATTAGAATGATCTTTTCTTAGTCATAAAAAATTGGATAATGTTATATCTGCTAACAATTACTTTTTATTTTATAGGATAATTTAGAAAGTACACTTAAAGATAATGATTTGACTGTCCATAACATCGGAAATTATAAGATTGTTAAGAGTCAATTTTAAATTTTTCTTTAAGAAAACAAAGCAATAAAATTTCAAAACATCGTAGTATATCTAAAGAAATACTGTATTTTTATCTTACAGCAATTTATAGCTCATTTATACTATATCTCTTTAATACCAATTCTTTATATTTCTTTAGTTACATTCAAATAGTTAGACTCTTCTGATCTATTTTTAATTCACGTAGTTCATTGATCTCTATTCTATTTATATCTACCTTACATAATTAAATTACTCTTGTAAAACTTTTGTAGTAGCTAATTTCACCAAGGTATTACAAATATAAAAATCTCATTTAAAAATCTCATCAAAAAAATTACACAATAAATGGTACCGTTTTCCTTCCATGTACATATACATTGTACATAACTTACTCTTCGTATAAACTTTAATACCGCAATGCTGTTTCATTTCGTATTCCTAGTATTATTATAGTAATGAGTATAATAATCTCATAATTAAGAAATAATGTTAAAAAGTTGTACATTCCTCTGCATTCCCGCTCGAACTCCTTCCTTTACAAGTAAACTTACCAATATCGAACCTCAGTTTGAGATAGAAATTATTTATTTTATTTATTTCTTCAAATCAACAAAAAGTTGATATTAGAATTATTATTGAACATAGATTCAGCATAGCCAGGAAGTGATTTTAATGTTCTAGGTAATAGAATATTTAACTGCGTTTAAAGAATACATAATACTAAAAAGAGATTTATTACTAGTAAATAAATTAGTAAACTGAAAGTTCTTCATAATCATATTCTTCAATGGTCCGCACTCTCTGAACTCCGCTATCGTGCGTCCAGACCATACCACAATTCAAACTTGATTTCGTTTTACTTTTAACAATAATCATGAAGGCTATATAATAAGTTTTTATAGTAATTAATGACTGGCTTAAGTTATTTTCATGTCCAAGCATATAGCAAAGCAATATAGCGCATTCTTAAAATAAAATGTTCAAATATTATATATAAAATACTACCCTAAAATATGAAACGAGATGAGGTCTATTTGAAGTATGAACTTCCTTTTGTTTTACGATGAAAGAATTCTAAAAAAGAACATGGTCTTGTATCCATTGGGTGATAAAGTTTTATCACAAGCATTATCCTGACCTGAACTAGATTAAATATCACTTTGACTAAACAAAGCAATTTTTCTTTTGCCTTATAAAAACACAGTTTCAGTGCAAAAAGGAATTTTCAACATTTTTTATATAAAGCAGCAATTACCTTATGGTGATACTGTTATAACCTTTATTAAAATTTTACTAAAATCTTTGATTTTTATGTTGCAAAAAATATTGAATTTAAGAAACTTTATAATTATTTTATCAATAATAATTATGGCTTCATCTACTAACTATAAGAGAATCTGGGACAGACGCTAATATTTTTTCGATCTTACGTCTCTTATGGTCAGTAAATTTTCAGCCTTATATTATAGCAGTTGATCCTTGCGTTTATTTTAAAAACGTATAAAAAAGTCAACCTTTCATCAGTTATTTCAATAACTTGCGCTAGTTTTAATATAATCAGCATTTTATGTCTGAGTACTTGTTTACAATCTATTTTTGGAGGAGAAAATATTATGAACTTTCAACTAAAGTTAAATTAATCAAGAGTTTTTGACATCACTTGTAAATATTCACTTTCATACTTAAATAGAACTAAATTGGTTAATGAATTAAATAAAAAGCTTGACTGTATTATTTTTGTTCTTGTATAACACCATATTTTCATTATCAATATAGAGGTATTTAAGGGAAATAATCACGTAAGGTATTTAATAATTTATTAAACAAATTTCGAACCTGAGATTTAAGATGTCCCTAAGTAAACTGAACGAGTTTGGTAAAGCAATTAGGACGAGGAATTTTCAAGTCACCACTCACCTCACTAAGAACAGAGTTTTAATATAAAACAGTTTCAGAAATTCAAAGTATTTTAATTAATATTTATGTACAAGCATTAAGGTTGCTATGTTTTTACTTAATATAAGTGAAAAAAAATTAATTATTTGATACATATAATTATATAAGTGTTTCTAAACATAAAAGAGTATAGAATAAACATCTAAAAAAACTACCTATTCTGTTAATCAACATTCTATGTTTCGATCACAAATCTTTAAGTTTATCGTATTTTTATTACAACTATTTTAAATAAATTATTTGAAAAAGAGGAAAAATGTACAGTTAAGATTGTGAAGTCGGTTTGGTATTATTTTGTATACAAAATAATATCAAACACACAAAATACTACTAGTTGTAGTAGTAGTAGAAATAGATCTAACCTTTTTGAAATCATTTTTGGTCTTTAAGAGATATACTGTGAGATGTAAACATACAAAAAAAATTGAAGTAATTAAAAAAGACTTAAATTTCAGTCTCTCGTTAAATAATATATCATTTGTTACATAAAGTAACAAAAAGTAATTTTATAAATATTTGTCACAAGAAATATCACGGTATTAGTTACTTTTCTGAAATTTTATTTGTTCTATAAATTCTTATATGATTCGAATTTAAAAAAAAATGTTGTTTCATCATTTAATATAAACGTGCAGCTAAGTCATTCTGTAAGTTTTTAAAAAAAGTAAATTTATACTCTAAACAATTTGTAACGAATGTTAGTCTAATACATCTCCTATAAAATTATTATAAATAATAAAATTATTATAGTTTTATAATTAAAATAAAAAGAGTAAAGCAATGTCTTCACTATCTACATATATATGTAGCTTGAGAGCTCGCCAGAACTAAGCTTATCTGATTACAAGTGCAACTTAAGTCTGAAATAAAGTAGTGCAAGTAGATGCGAGTGGTTTGTTTGTAAAATGGATAACCACACTATCGAAAATAGTGATAGTGACATAGTAAAGTCACGACAGCATTGGTAACGTCACAGTTCTTAAAAATTAAAATGAACATGGTACTTCGACATCTTAGTATACTCATAAACAGCTATAAAAATATTTTAAAACTTCGAGTACCATAGTTATTTGAAAAAAGTATAAGTTGCTATATATAAAATGATCCATATAAATATCGTATATTTACATGTTTTAGGATCTATGAAAATTCTTTGAACATGCAAACATTTGGTTAATGTTTGTGACACTTAAGTTGAATATCCCTGTCCCATAGAGCACTGCTCACTTGATCGTTAGAGTAATGCATTCCAGTGAACAGCTCATAAGACACACTGAAGGAAATATATTTTACATTAAGTATTTTGAAACATTACTGTCTATATAATCAAGTGTCTTCAAGAGATTTGAATTTCAAAATTATTTTTACACGTTTATCTTCAAACGAATAGGAACATTTAGACATGTAATGAACAATAAGAAAAATTGAACCCTTCTAGCTTGATTTGCTAAGCTCTCATGAAGTTCTGATTTAACTGAGAATACCAGTAAAACTGCAAAAATATTTGAGATATTTAAAGCTATAATAAAGTGTCAATAAAAGTAGCTCAAAGCGGATTTACACATTTTCATTTCAGGAAATTTGCTGTCATACAGCTCTCTTACAGTCTTTATATTGGCAAAATTCATGGTTCATAAAACATTTAATAAGTTACGCAATAATTATATAATGGAAATGAAAATTAACAATTGACCACAAATTACAAACAACAACAACAAATGTGAGTTGTAATAAGAGAGTTCTTTGTTATTGAAAAAACGTAATGAATCATGTGCTTTTTCTGATTTTCTCTCAAGAAGTAATAAAATTAAAACATTAACAAACAAAACCGAATGTTTTGATTTCGATTTAAAAATTGTTCTAAAAAAAGACCGAACAAGATGTGGAGATGAAATGATGCTAAATGGTACCCACGATTTTCTAGTCAACATTTGTTATGGGTTTCACGTCCATAAGTTACAATATTTTTTTATTTTAGATTTCTTTCGAAATATCACTAAACAGGAAAATATTGAATGAGTAAATATAATGAATTAGTCTTTCTTATATACAGTTATTCTAAAATAAAAAACGAAAATGTGTCTGTGCCGAGGTTATGTGAATTTAACAATACATTTTCATAGATTAGATAGATATTAATATTTAATTTTTATTTAATATTTTCACAAATAGATGTTTTAGTTTTAAATTTAGAGTGTATTCTTTTATTCTGAGAATTCATTAAAAAAAATTAAATACTAGAAACTATTATAGTTTAACCTGATATATTTTCAAAAATTTTTAGGAACATATTAGACATATACAGGCTGACTGGTGAATTACTATCAATATTTAAGGAGAATACTCGGTACATGATTCTCATTCGAATTATGTAAATAAAATAGGTACTTAATTTTTGACAAAATTTCCGTATAAATAAATAAAGTGTTGACACGTTCCAAGTGTTCCAAGTGTGGACGCGTGCGACGGCGTGCTGATTCAACACCACGCCGCCGCATGCGTATGTGTGTGTGTGTGTGTATACCTAATCTGTAGGGTGTTTACACGATGCGTAATTAATAACATAACTTTTGGTTAACTTTACTTAGAAGTTTATTAATATTTATGTTATATTAATTTTTATTTTGTCATATATGATCGTCAAATATCACGTCCTCAAGTATCGATAGTAATTCACCAGTCACCCTGTATTTATCAGTAGGATAATAGGTAATAGTTTATACATATACATATTAAGTGTGGTATTTGTTAAGACGAAAGTTCAAAATCTTGATGATTTAGGCTCAGTGTTTATTCAAACAATACAAAACGAAATGGTTGAAGCCAGCACTACACCCTCAAAATTAAGATTGACTTCCAAATGTTTCTGGAAAATTAACATGAATTTAAACATTATAATAAATTATTAATATAATATTATAAATAACAAGTTCAATTTTTACAATTTCTAAGTTGTAGTTTGACACGGATGGAGGATCTTGTAACTTATTATGAGTGAAAGTTTGTAAAGTTGTATGTATATACATATGTTTGGTATCTTTTCATTTGACAACAATTTAATAAAAACAAATATGATCGTATTCTCTTATATGTTTAACCAAAATATAAGCCTAAAGCCGAACTGTCGCAAAACAGATACTTGACATTTTTTGTTATTTATGAATATATATTTGTTAATTCATTTAAAATTATAAGAATATTCATATGAATGTACGGTAAAATATAAGAAGAAATCTATTTCATAATTTTGGATGTGAAATTTATTTTCAGACCAGCTTTAGGAATTTGAAGTTGTTATTGAAAATAAATAGGGATTTCAAATATTTTAGATTTTAAATTAAAAAAATGTGTGGAAAAGAGATAATATACAAAAAGTATCCTTTTTCAACGAGATGTTAATTTTTTTTGGTCCTGTCATCGAAATTCTCTATGAATAACAGGTAATTTTATTTGCTACAAAACTGTATTGTTAAAAAATATATTTAACTTAGGCTTTTTTTCAAGACTTCATCATAAGTTTGATATGAAGGATTAATATAATCATTCTATTCAAACTAATTTTACTAGTACGTTTATATTTATGCAAAATGTGTTGTACATATTATGCTTTATCTACCAAATATGTTTGTGACAGGTCATTGCTAAGCTTAATGGCAGAAATACTGAGTGCAAAGTAAAAAAGCGTGATACATGAACTTAATGGATCCTCCAGCGAAATAAGTCTCAATTTTAACCATTTCCCTTCTGAATTTGTTCATACACACGGAAGAAATATGAACACTGTTTTCATAAAATCATTCGTTCGTGAAATACAGTAAATTATTAATTGGACATATTTCTGAGTAGTATGTATATGGTAGCTATTAAACTAGTATTGATAGTCGTATACTGTGGTTACATACATGTTATCATTTACTGTAATGCTGGGAATGACAAATGTTACTACAACTGTATGGTTTAAACGACTGAGATGTGTATGATATTAAAATATCTTACCCTGTTAAAAAAAGACCGTTTTATTCATATTTTTAATTATCTACCCTCATAATCTTCTGTATCCATAGTGGTTTTCATACTTTTCTTTCTTATTATATCCCATATTTAAAACAAAATTAATAGCAAGATGAAGAAATAGATGAAAACTGAACTAATGAAACCTGACGAAGAAATTCTATTGATAATTTTTATACATATTATTTTTCTATTGCAAATAACTAATTTATAATAACAGTTGATAAATGACACTCTTTTATTTAGTTTGCCTGTTTTAAATTCAGGTTTTAAAACCTCTATCATTTTATTATATATTAAACCAAAATTAAAGTTAGGAATGCTTAGAAAAATTTTTGCAATTATTTTTGTAGTTAGAAATGAAAGAACGTAAGATCTTGCAAAATATGGCAACGAAGACGTGTTTACAGGTGCGCTGTGGTGAATGATGTAGAGTACTAAAAGCACCTTCCCTTTTTTCCAACTCAATTTCTTTGTTCCTTTACTTTTGTTCATATTCCCTAGCCCCCATAACTGTTACACAAATTGGGCAACACAGGTGTCGACGATACCCATTCGTCATTATTTCGATCGTCTTATTTGTTTGTTATTTTTGGCACTTTTTTATATTGGTATATGAATAATTAATCGTGATTCGAAACTGTTTCATTCTCTTTTTCTATTTATGCCGAGTTAAAAATAACTCCGTTTTTCCGAGACATTGTGTCAGTGGATATATTTTGCTATAATTTATGCATTTTTTCAAGTCAAATAAACTTTAATTATATCTATACAATTTGTTTTATAAATGAGAGATGGGTGTTGTTTGAGAAAAAAATTACTGATTAACGTTATACATATGCATTTAATATAATTTAAATATAATTCTTTAAAAAAAATGTATAATATTCTTTGAACATGCAAACATTTGGTTAATGTTTTTGACACTTAAGTTGAATTTCCTTGCCTCATAGAGCACGAGGCTCACTTAATCATTAGAATAATGTTTAGCAATATACAGTTCATGAGACACACTCTGGATATGTTTTATATAAAATATTGCGACCTAGTCACTCCCATGAGGGTTTATATAATATTTAGTTGTCTCTACATACTAGATCTACCAGAAATATAGAAGAATTAATATAATTAATTCATACTTATTTTTTACCATGTCATCTTGAAATACTTGTTAATACTACAAATGTTTTATTATAAAATAAATTAAATAATAAAGATGATTTTATTCACAACTAACAATTACATGCTGAAATTTAATCTCAGTACTTTTGGTGGTACGAGACTGTCAAAAACAAAATTTTGCATAAAATTGACTTCCAAAAAATGTATATTTACGAACTTGGTGTCTTGTTAATTATTATTTGGAAGTATTTTATTATAAATACTATAATTATTAAAACATTTCTTTTTGTCTTTATATGTACATATTACATATACACATTTAATAAATTTGTAAAGTAAATTACAAATTTATATAACATTACCATACAAATACTTTTATTGGATTTGACCATACATTTACCTTGATATCCTAAATCTTTACAATAAAATCATTATTAAATAAATCCTTATCTTGTATGAGTAGGTATGTAGTGAACTTAAAATTACAAAAACCTACTTACTTTAAGGGTCATCTAAACGCATTTATGAGATTTTAGTAACAATTTGAAATTATTCTAATAACACAAGTCTTCCTAATATTGATCTTTGAAATTATAAAATATATGTCATCTGAAAAACCTTGTGAAATAATATGTAGATATTTCGTGGAAGTACCACTTCATCAAAAGTCTCAAGATTCGAAGAATTTCATAGTAAGTTAAATTTATTTCATGCAATAATGTTTCTATTCAAAAACTTACTTTTAACCTTAATAGAAAAAAAAATGATTTGGTGGGAGTATAGATTATGCCTTATTCATATTTCGAAACTTAAATTTACTTACTTTAAGTTTGTCTTGGAATACCATTTATTACTTGAAGCTTTTATTTTAATTGTGTTTCTTATTATTAAGAACGTTTATTTTCATTAAACAATTTTTAATCAAGAGAGTAACGCTGCCCTGTCAAAATAGAATGTAATTGGTTCTTAACAATATTTATTTAAGACTAACTTTCACCTCTTTATCGCAATAATTAACCTTATACATTTAAGTCATATTGTTGATATTTGTTTAAATTCTTACAGAAGTTAATGTGAGAACACTATATATTATGTATGTATATAGTGTTTAGTACTAGCAATCCACTTTTGCTCCGAACTAAAATATATATCTAGTTATATAAAAGTCAGTCCAGGTCGGCAACGCATGTGCAACATTCCTTATGTTACAAATGTGTGTCCATGGGTGACCATAACAACCTTCCATCAGATAGGCCGTCTGCTTTTTAAATAAAAAAAAGTATCACGATCTATAATTTCGAATAGAGGGATTATATTTATATCTAAGAGGACTATCTGCCCCATACATTTCTTAAGAGAACTGTATCAAATAATACTTTTATGCCTATGTTTAATTTATAAGATGTATAGGTCAAGGAAATGAATTTCAAAGATTACAAACACCCACATTATTATATCAAAATTTTATTATCAAACAGTCATAGCAATTTAACTGAATGAATAATTTACAGAACGTAGGGTTTCCTGCTGACAATGTACTCCTTGACTCCGGGTAAGTTCCTGATCTTGTCTACCAGAGCTGCGACATGAGGATATTTCCTCTCGATCTGCTCACCCAGACGCAAGTTAATCGCTTCGACGATGCCAACGAAAACGAAGTCAGCCCAGCTCAACTATAGTAAGAAATTTTTATTATTCATATTAGTTGAAAGTTGTTACATTTTATAAACAGAAATGTAGATTGACTAACTTCAAAATATAAATATTTATAATGATCACGAAAAGTACTAAATCGACTATTTACTTAGAAATATGTCTCTTAATCACATAGTTAAGTTTTTATATGTATAATTAAATTCAGAGTCTACCTTTCCTCCAAAGAAACCCTTGTTATTCTTCAGTTGGTTTTCAAACCTGGCGAAATAGAAGTCGATCCATTCTCCCAAGATTTCCTTCTTCAGCTCCTGTTTCTTGACAATGTCTTGTTCTTTAACATATGCTATGACCTCTGAAATATTAGTAAATATTTAATATAAACTCACATTAATTTTAAAATATTGATAATACTTTTCCATAATATTTACTTGACCAGAAGTCGTAGACGCTCAATACAATAGCATCCAGTTGAGCTTGCTCCCAAATGTCTGCTGGGATCAGGTTGTGAACAGCACCAATGTATCGAGCAATGGCCACTGATTGGTAAAGTGACTTATTCCCCTCTTCATACAAAGGCAACTGGCCGAATGGAAGAGCTACAGAAATATAAAAAAAATTAACGACCTAACTCATTATACTTTTTTTACACTAAGTAATATATTGTAATTAAGCAAAAACCTACGGTAAATCTTTTTGAAACTTTAATTGCATTTTTAAGCAAAGTTATCATTAACGGCACTAGTAATAATTAAGTATTTTATTCATAAAAAAGTAGTGTTCATTTAAAATAAATACAAATATTTTCACAAAATTAGACGTCAAAGTATCAGATAACTTACATTTCTTTACTTGTTCAACCGGCCAGCTCTGAGAGTCGTATCGCACGTCTTCAAACTTCTGCTTGGCGTAATGAAGCATATACCTGACAGATTCGGCAATGCCGTTGGTGTCGAAATAATGCAGCTTCCTCGCCATTTTGATAGTGACTTTAGAGTAAATGACAAACAGTTGATCTGCGCTTTTATACTACTTTCACATTTTAACTAGTCGTTTCACCCAACTTCGCTTCTCGTATTTTATACTAAAATTATCCAGTTAAATTTCTTAACTAAAGTTTAATTCCTTTTAATGTTTTTAGAGTCCACTCAAATAAGCGAGGGAAATTATAAGCTTTGAGAAACTACTCCAATTAGTTTTGTTTTAGTGTGATATTCTATTGTTATCGAGAACTATCAAATAATTTTTAGTCTCATTATACATATATTACGAGTATGTATGATTTGAAAATTAAATGCCGTAAATTAAATAGAGTTGCTAATAATTAACAAAATATTCGTTACTACAAACATACATAAATACATAATTTTAAATATATAATTGCACTAGACAACAGAGTTATTTTTATTTATCATTAATAACAGACCTAAAAATTGTTTACGCTAAGTGCATTCGATAACATTGTTTTGTCTACCCTTTGCTGATTCTCATTATCTGTTTAAAAACAAAATCTATGCTCAATAATTAAGATTTTTTAAATATATAATTGCCTTAAAGTAATTATATTTAAATTTAATAGTCAACCAAACGTTATTTACCAAATTTATAGTAACGTTGGACCAATAAATTCTAAACCATTCTACTATAAAGCACTACAGATAAGTTATTTATTACCAAAATATACTGCTACACCAGTTTTGATTCGATTTACTTAAAACAAGACATTAAGTTCTAATTATATGTAGTATTTAATGTTTTTACATTTTGTATCATAAATCGTTATCACTTTTACTTGAATTTATAGTATTCTGTTATCTGAACCTCTCGTCAAATTGGAACTGAATTTTATTAATATTTATTCGGAATTCCATCAAACTATACCGAGAAATTACTGAACAAAATTATAAAGAGAAATCTCCAGTAAATATAAAAGCAAAGCGCAATAAGCTCTGTATCCAAAAATAAATCTATACAGAGAAGGAGTAAGTTTTCCTAGAACTTGCACATTTTCTGTGTAATAAAGTGTTTCCTTAGGCGCAACAAACTACGGAACACTAAATTACTAGAGGTTTCTCTTGTCGCCGCACTTTTTCCGTGTGGTCACAGTTACAGCGGTAATTATGTGATTTAATCGAAGATAGTTATTAAAAAATTCTAATATAAGAATAATTTAAGGACACAAATGTAATGCCATAATATAATATGAGTTTTGAAAAATCTTTCTAAGACTGTAATTAAAGCAACCTAACAGATATTTAACAAATCTTGAATAATTTACGTACATATGTTAGAGATCTTTAATTGAGGAAAATGCATACTATAATAAAAGCGTGGTATTAAAAAAATGATTAAATTAAAATTATTAAAAAATAATACTATTAGGTACGTTAAATAGATTGAGATATCACTAAACGCCATATTGCGATCCATCATGCATATGAATAGAACACAATAATACATCAAGTATTCCCGCCTTCAAAGACGTAATACCCGTATCCGTTTCAACACAACCTTTAAGTGGGATCGCTAGAAAAGGATCTTGTTTATTTGCTCCGTTTCCAACGCGGCAGTCGCACTTCTAACTAATGATAAGTAATTGCTCGCTTAATATATTGACTTAGATGTCTTAATATGAAACTCATTTAAAATTATTGCTTTGAATGTTCACAATACTAATAGAGAAGAATAGCTAACTAAAACAATTTAAAACATATATTTCTTATATTTTTTATATACTAGTACATAAGATACAAAAATTAAATTTAAGACTATGGTTGTATCTATTCAATGATCATATTAAAACATTTATCTTATAAGAGTTACCTGATTCTTAAGAACTTCTTTTTAGCTTTCAAAATGACCGTAAATGATGTCGGCCAAGCCTGACTTATGTGGCACATAGGTTATTTATCACCTTTTCTATGAAGCATCACCAATTATGGACTAGTGCCAACAAATATAAGGATGATCTCACAATCAATCTTGGATAGAGCCATTACTTGGCTCTTAAACCGTTTAAATCATTCCATTTCATCAGATATATTTAGTGATAGAATAACTAATATAGGTTTAGTATTATTATTAATAGTATAGTATATACAGTCATAGTTCATGAAGTAACTGTCAATAGCTTTTAGCTCATTGTAGCGAATAAACCCTTGAACGTGATCAATCAACTAATAGTATTAGTGCCTTAGTGTTACATTATATGTGCCTCATAATCAAAACAATATTATAATGGAAGTAATATTCATACACTAATCAAGACTAAATTAACACAGGCTTCTTATGAAACCTTGATAACAATACAACTGATAACATCTCAAATTTCGCTTTCTGAATATTATATTGGCACATTACAAAATCCATTTTCCTCAAGGAAACCTGACCCGTGCAGAATCCCTCTTACATAAGACTCTTTTAGACATGCCGCCACTTTACTTTCATCAGAAATGATCAAATATGCACCCTTGCCTCCTATCTTACACCATCTACCAAACCGTTATTACGAAACAAGAAAGATATCTGAACCCTTCTAACTGTTATATACATTCCCGATTTTATCTCTTATTATTTTTCTTCCTTTATATAAAACTGTCAATGGAAACAAAAATATCTTTGATTACATACTCAGTGCGTCATTATATGGCTATAATTTTAAACGACGATACTGATGATATCGACAATGTGGTTTCCACTTCAAATATATTTATTTAACAAATAAGCTTTTGCTCCATTAATTTCGTAAGGCTTAAAAATATTTAGTTTTTTTTTTTTTGTATTACAATTCGAAAATCACTCACTTTACAATTTGATTTAATTATAAATACTATATTAAGAAAACTGAGTCAATGGTGGCCTAGTGGTTAAAAAGTCCGCCTCTCATGCACGAGGGCGCGGATTCGATCCTGACCCGAGCAAGTACCAATGTGATTTTTCCGTATCATATGTAATTTTTAAGAGTATTTAGACATCACTAATTAATGTTGATTCCCAAAAGAGGGTTGATGTCAGGCAGGCGGCCGGTCGTAAAAACAAATAGCCAAAACTATTCTCAACAAGTAAAGCAGATCCTGGCTATAGCTGGGAAATTGCTAGGTAGAAAAAGACTGTATTAAGAAAACCCTGGTTTAATTAAAATTCCTTTGTTTCGAAACCAACTTTTAAAAAAGAAGGGTTCTTAATATGTGTAATGCTCTAAAACTATCATGGGATTTATTTCCTTACATTTGTAGCAGATTTCACAAAAATGACAATAGAAGCTTAATAACAAAACCATTTACTAATCAGTTCCGAAAAATATAATCACAAGCTTTTGTTTCTTATTCCACCTCACGATACATCGTCACCTCACGATATTTAGATGGTACAGATTGAGGTTTTTAAAATTATTACTAATATGTAGTAGTTACGATTTTTTTAAAATGTAATTTAAATAAAATATATTGTTATAATTATATATCTTAATAATACCTTCATCCAAAGATTCTTAACTACTGCTGACTACGCTCATAAATAGAATCATGACATATCTATAATTTTTCTAATGTTTAAAATGTATTATAGTTATTTACAGAGATACCAAAACAAACATGTACATATATTTAGAAACAATTTTGTTTGAAAACTTGACCTATATAGAATGATATGGAAGTTAAACAAATTATAGGATAGATAGATATTAAAAATAAATATTTTATTTTTCATTTCGCAATCTATTTCAATCTGCATCGTTTTTGACGGTTCATCACCAAATGGGTGGAACACGATATTTGAAGTGAAAAAGACATAACACATCTGTGCAACATATATGTGCAAAAGAATTAGAATAAAGTACATTTAATTTGAGAATTTCCATAACAATAAATTCAACTGAATATAAAATGAAAATTATAAATGTCGAAGTTTCTCACAACATCGATTAGTGAAGCCGCGATCTAATACGAGAATAATGATTTGGCAATAAAATTAATTGCTTTAATAAAATTCGTGAAGTTTCGGTAAGTAATTTTTGCTATTAATTTCTTTTTCATCAAAGATTTCTTATTTAACTTGTATATTTTTATTAAAAAGGACAAAGAATACACTATGTTTGATTAATCATTCTAGAGCAACTAATTTTTACAACATGGATTCAAATAGTTTTTAAAACAGCTCATATGGTCTAACTTTTCTTCAAAAGTCAAAGCGAGCTTAATTCCAAGAGATTTTTATTAATATCTCATATGATAAGCATTTTATGTTAAATGAATCCTTTATATAAAAATATTTTATTATTCATATGTTGTGTATGTAATTCGTCATACAAATGAATTAAAAATTAATATAATATTACACATAATCAAATATTCTACACATGATTATTATCAAGACAGTCAAACGTCTTAGAACTTAGGTCTTCCCTAATATGTGTCAACTGTTTTATATCAGAAGGCACTTAATTATTAATATATGTATATTAAAACGTTTCTCCATGTCTGTTCATTATCTCCAAAACTAGTAAATACATTTTATATATTATGGCTTTTATAAATAGAAGTGTTTAACAAAATTGTAGTATTAGAAAATTAAAGAATATAAAACAAACTGTAATAAAAGACTATCAATATAACTACAAACAAAGTATGTGCTAATACGTAAAGTGATTCGACGGTTTTGTACGTTTATCAAAACCACAAGAACTCGGGCAATCCCATTTTGAAGTTGCAAATTGTTAACAAAACATAGAACTTGTAACGGCTCTAAATGTTTGCCCACTTTTGCCATTACCGCACAAGAACTGGGGACAATGTATATTTAATTAAGATTAACAATGGACCAAATTAGTATTTTGGTTAAATATATCACTGGCGGTGAACGCGGTTCTGACCATAGCATGAAATTCAGCCGTTATATTTTACATTACATTAACATTTCCCTATCCCTTAGGTAAAATGGTGTCGTTGTTGACTACAGTTGATGTTAAAATAACTAAATAA